GTCTCCTGTTGGTCTCTTTACGGAACACACATTGAACCTGTCCTGGATTGGAGAGAGAGAGAGGGTAGAAGCGTGCTGGACAAAGCCGTCTCGAGGCACATGGTGGGTGAAGACTTTAAGACTTCTGTGTTGTGCTGTATTTGCTCAGGAAGTACTTAGTGTCGGAGCGTTCTGTGTTTAATTTTTTCAGAACGTAAGTCGCAGCTTCTACAGTCTTTCTCAGAATTGGCTATACAAGCAGTCTGTTTTAAGGCTCAAGAGTTAGTAATTTCTGATTTTAAAATGTAAGAGATTGCTCTCTGTGAGAAGTGTGCCTCCAGCCAGAATAAACCCAGCATTTATGCAAGTGGTTTTCTTTAGGATAAGCATGTCGAAAAAAGGTCAGGCCCTTGGCTCATGAAGACATGAAAACATGATCACAATGTTTTTTGTCTACGCAAGCCTTCTGAACCTTAAGTGTGTGTGTGTGCGCAGCCATTCATATGGTGCGTGTATTATGAGTACGTAGCATGAATACATCTTAATTTTGCAATGCTTTTTTGAAACTAAGAAGATGGTTGAGCTGAACTTTTGCCCCACATTTCTTGTCTCAAAGAAATTCATGACATTTTTGTTCATGTGAGTATCCTGTAGTGATCTTTATTGGTCATTTCTGGTTATTGACTTGGCTCTGTTTAATCTTCTAGGACCATGCCTAGATGATGCTTATGTCTGAAACTCCTTAGAATGAAGGAACTACTGAAGGAAATGAACTTCTAGTGCCCAAAGATTGTTTAAAAATACGTTCGGAAAGAACTAGGAAAGATGCGCCAATCACTACTTACAAATGGAGAAAGATGCGCCAATATTGAATTTCTGATGAAGAAAAGATGCGCCACGGTAACTTTGCAATGGAGTAAAGATGCGCCAACATTTACTTTCCAGAGGCATGATACGACATAGCAGCATGAAGTTTGAAAGTAGCAAATGACAAGTGCTTTAAAAGATGCGCCAACCACCAAAAAAAGGAAAAAAGATAAACATTCAAAAGATGCGCCAAAAATTTAAAGAAAAAACTAAAAGATGCGCCAGAAAACTAAATTGAAATGAAAAGATGCGCCAACAATTAGTATAATACTGCATTTGTTAAGAGAATGCACTTCTTTTATCAAACGTTCTATTTGTCTGATCGAAGTTTTATCCCTATAGTTGGTAACTGGATTTTTCTTTTCTTTATATTTCTTGTGTTTGTGTCGCCACTGGGACTTTGGTGTCTCACAGCATGTATTGGCATCATGTATGGCATGGAAATATGGCTTCATTAGGTGACTTGCAAGTTGCCTTAGGGCCGTGGCTGATGTTCCTACTTTTTCCCTCAAGGGAATCGTAAGGGCATCAGGGGACGCCCTTCTGTCCTTAGGACTTTATTTCTGAGGTCTGAAGGGTGGATCTGAGCATCATGCGCTTCGTTGAGACTTCGCTGTTTGCGGACCTCCTTCGCCGGTTTCTTCGTGGGGCTTCGCGGGACTTCGTGGGACATCGTGGGACTTCGCGGGACATCGTGGGACTTCGCGGGACATCGTGGGACCTCTTCGTTGGCCTCTACGCGGGACATCGTGGGATTGCGTGTGACCTCTTCTCCAGCCTCTGCGCGGGACTTCGTGGGACCTCTTCGCCGGCCTCTGCGTGGGACTTCGTGGGACCTCTTCACTGGCCTCTGCGTGGGACTTCGTGGGACCTCTTCGCCGGCCTCGTCGCGGGACTTCTCCGCGGGCTTCTACGTGGGACTTCGTGGGACTTCTGCGCGGGACCTCTTCGTGGGACTTCGCGGGACTTTGCGGGACTTCGCGGGAACTCTTTTTGGAGCCTCTTCGCTGGACTCATCGCGGGACTTCGTGGGATATCTTCGCAGGAGGGTAGTAGAATTGTTTCTGCCTTCCTTCGCTCATTCGTCTCACCATCGCGGGGCCATTCCATTCATCATCACGGGACGGGGCTGTATGAAACCTTTCCTTCCACCGAAACGACGGCCCCCTCTCCTTCCGAATCCACTTTGCTTTGTCACTAGCTGCAGAGCCCCAGAGGACGTCAGGACGTCGCGCGGTGGCAGTCGCGAGCTGCCGGAGCTGCGCTGGACCCCTCGAGGAGTCCTGCCCGGCGTCACGCGCCGCCACGGGATGTTACGTCACGGTGGGCGCCGAGCCTGCCGCTGGGCTAAACCTCTCCCGTTGGCGACGCACTGGACGGACTTCGGCTTGGACGTGCTGGCCCGAGCTGGCACCAGCTAGCACCAGCCTGCGTGCGGTGCTTGCGCTGGGCATCGCGCGGTGCGGGGCTGGCTCCTCACGTGTTCCCTCACCACGGCGGGGGCCTTCCGGTGAGCCCCACGGCCATCCGAGTGGACTTCCCTGTTTGAGCCCCACAGCGCGGGCTATCCGAATGGACTTCCCTGGTGAGCTCCACGGCGCGTGCCATCCGAGTGGACTTCCCTGGTGAGCTCCACGGCGCGTGCCATCCGAGTGGACTTCCCTGGTGAGCTCCACGGCGCGTGCCATCCGAGTGGACTTCCCCGGTGAGCTCCACGGCGCGGGCCTCTCGAACGGACTTCCCTCTCTGGCCTGGAGATCCCGGCGCGGAGCACTGCGAGCTCCCGACCCACGGCGCGGGCCTTTCGATCGGACTTCGCACCCTGGCGCCAAGCTTCCGGATAGCTTGGCGTTTTCGGGTGTCGCCGCGACCTGTCCGAGCCCCGGCCGTTCCTGGCTGGGCCAGGCTGGGCGCCCTTCGTCCTTCCCCGGCGATGCGGTGTCCTCGCGGCCTCGGTTCCCCCTGGGGATCCGAACGTTGCAGGGGATGCCGCGACTTCGGGACGGTGCGAGCTGCGGGCCTGGCGCCTGCGTTCGGGAGCGGAGCGAACGGAATCGACATCGCGGATGGGACTTCGGCCCCACCACGGGGTGCGTAGCAGTCGTAGCAGTATCGAGGCGAGATGGGCCTCAGGCGGCCTCTTGCACGGGGGTGCGACGGGATCGGCCTCCAGGGGCGGGTTGCGGGTGGTTTTGCGGAACTTCGAGGGATCAGAAGAACTTCGCCGCGGGACTTCGTGGGATCAGAAGAACTTCGCCGCGGGACTGCGTGGGATCAGAAGAACTTCGCCGCGGGACTTCGTGGGATCAGAAGAATTTCGCCGCGGGACTGCGTGGGATCAGAAGAACTTCGCCGCGGGACTTCGTGGGATCAGAAGAACTTCGCCGCGGGACTTCGAGGGACTTCGCTGGATTCGCCGGACGCACCACGCTGAAAGGTTTGTCAGTGAAATCTGTATCCCCACTATACGCTCTGGTTGAGAGGCTAACTAATATGATGTTTGTTGGCTTTTGTTTGTTTCAGAATTTTGATGGTCCTCTTTTACTTCACATTTTTGAAATCATCTTTGTAATGGACTGAAACTATGCGATTGAAACCTAAGTCATTTACAGGTAAATTGTGTTCCCTTTTCTGTTTGTTTCATCTTATAATTTTGAAGAAATCTAATCTTTCTTGTGTTATTAATAATATAGCTAGGCCCATCTGGAGTCAGAAAGCTGTGCTGAATCGAACTTTCCTCAAGTCACTCTTACTTATGTACAACAAATTTCTAGAAGAGGAACTCAAATGTTTTGGGTGAGTTTTGGAGTGCTTCACTTAAGACCTATAATGCCTATATGTACTTGAGCAAATTTTGATGTCATGTGTCTTTGTTCTCAGTGTCCTCCTGCGTGGTTGCCAGCACTCTCCTCTTCAGTTCTTCTGTTATGTTTTGGTGTCCTTCATTGCTGCTCCCCCAGCTTTTTCACTTAGTTACTTTGTGCGATGAGGACACAAGGCAGACTACGGAGATAAGAAACGTTATGCTTGGGTTGAACTGTTTGTTTGCTCGACTCACTAGTTCTCTCTTGGGTTTTTCAAGGGTCAACACACCCTGTGTGGTCTCGGGAGTAAAGGCTTGATAAAAAGATTTCTCAGTGTCAATAAGTTTATTAACAATATGGTCAGGAATTTGGAAACTCACAGCTGGCTGGGATCTCAGGCTTGCTCACCCAGGTACAAGCCACACTTCATAAGATGTAGATACAAGGCTGAACTATCTCAAGTCCGTTAACACTCGGGGCAGAACGACACATTTAAGTTATCCTGACGGAAACTCATGTAGGGTTCTCAATGATAGCCCAGGATCTTTACAAATCACTGCAACTTTTAAGTGCTTACAGCCATTGGCTGTGAACTAAGTCTGTTAACGTTGGGTACTAACAAGTGTACTACTCCTGCTCACACTGCAGTCAAGTCTGCTAACTCTGGGCAGTGACAAGATTAAAAATCCACTTAATGCTAAAGTACCCGTGACTGAATTGAACATGGGTTGCAAAGTCAAAATCCAAGCTGATTAATCCAATGTACAACCGAGAAACAATGTAAATTACCAATGTTTGCTACCTTTTGTTTCGCTTTACTTATGAAGTATCTGAGAGTTGATTTTGACCCCTTAATTTCCCGCTCACTCAATGTACGCTTATCAAGTAAATTTTATTGATGGAAAATCTTTGTTAATGTGAAGTTTACAGAGCTACAAGCTACAACTTTGGCTTTTCTCTGATGGTTATGCTAGTGTCTATTGTGTTATGGTCTACTGTCACATAGAACAAATAATTTCAGATATGAGAGTTTGTATATTGTTTTCAAGTCAAACTTGTTATCAAGTTTTCATGTACCTATCTTACTCTCCTATTGGAGTTTTCTTGTTTACTACTTCATTTGACTGTGGTCTCTCTTTTGTCCACATAATAATACATGCTTGCTACCCTAGCTCTTGGCATAGCTGTGGATTGCTTTTGTCCTATTTGTCTAGAATTTGTTTTCTTCTTTAGGCCCAACCTTTACATTTGTGCTGAATTTCCACTCCAGAAATAAACTTGAGTAAAAGACATACACTGAATATCTTTTCTCTGAAATCCTCAATCCCCTTACTACACAAACATTTCAAATTTATGATACTGAAATATTTATTGAAAATCTTGTCTTACACAAAATACAGTGGCATTATAGAACAACAATTTAACAACTCTATATAACATCGGGCAAACTACATTCCCTAGAACTCAGGTGAAAGGAAGTTGGTGAGAGGGTAAGAGGAATCAAATGGTGGGCTAGATAGTTGGCGCCCAAATAAAAGAAAATTAGAGAAAAGGACAGTCATTTAACAAGTGACATGCTACAATCTCACAAAAAAAGTGAAGGGGAAATTTTTAAACAAAGAAATAATCTCAAAGAAGTGACTTTCTAAAATACTTGCTATAAAAGTCAGTGAAACAAAGATGTAAAATGAGAGAAAAAAAACAACAACACTTGATGAAAGTCTTACATAAAAACATTGTCAGTTAATGACTGTGACCCCTTTTCGATCTATGACTTTTCCTTTCATCTTTTTCCTTATCCTTTGAATGTTTCTTAGAGCTATGTTTCACTTCACTTCTTTCCTTCTTTGCACTTTTATCTCTTCTAGACTCTCGATCGTCTCGGTGACGTTCTCTTGATCTGTGACGGTGCTTGTCTCTGTGGGTTGATTCATGACTAGAATTCCCTCTCCTTGAACGGTTGTACTTGTGGTAAGGAGATGTTGAACGGGAGCGAGACCTTCTGTGGTTGTGTTGCATGGTGTTCGCTAAAGTTGTGGTAAGGAAGCGTTTATTGGGGCGGGGTGCATGATCTTTTTTCCACCCTAACGCACCATGTACTACTGCTCTGGCGGCACCTTGCTTAGCTTCCTTCAGCAGCTCTTCAGCTGCTAACCTGCAAACAAGATTGGTTTGAACATAAGTAAAGACTCAAAACCGGATTTCTTAATGAAAGCAACTAAATAATGTGCACTACACCTTCAAAATATATCCCTAAAAACTTCAGAACAAGGTTGCAAGTTACGATGAAAACTGAATCTGGTCTTACCTTTCTAATTCCTCATCATCCATGGAAATGGCAACTCTCAAATATTGCTGGAAGTTTGGAATGATCAGACGATCTCACCTGAAGTAAATTAGGTTAGATTAAATTTTAATAGAATAAATGGATGACTGTTAGCTCCTACCAGTCCAATGTAAATGAAACACTCGACACTACGAGAAAAACAACTTCAAAAAAACTTACATAAATTGGTGGCTGATGGTCATGGCTAGTTTTTAGCAGAAAGATTAAAGGAACTTGTGGAATTCGTGTGATAGCCGATAACAGTCTTCCAACGAGCATAAACAAAAACAATAACACGGGTCAACTATTCGCAGGTTAAAACTATTATTTACAATCAGTATGTCTATTCGCACAACCTGATCCAGCTGGGGCTGGGGCTGATGTCAGAGGGAAGAACTTGGGAAGAACGGGGGGAGGAAAGATTTATTTTTCTACATCTTCAGTTAAGTTTGGGGAAGGGACTAAACTAGCTGTTTTACAAGTGAGGGTACTGTAGTTCCACATCTTGAAAAGAAACAAACCAAAATTCCCCTTCAAAAGTTTATTATCTTTTAAAATAATAAAGATAACTGTTGACAACTACTTTGTACATGATCAGATATTTACAAATGAAGTCAAGTCACTATAATACATTTTATACATAAATATTCACAGATTTATAAAATATGACAAGCCATAAGATGAATGTAAGGGTGGAAAATGCGGCTTAGAATGAACAAGGAGACTAGCAAAAGTTTAAGATCCTTTAAGAAATACTAGTGCAAGGAAAAGAGTAAGTCTAAATTCCTCTTTTAATAGGTCTTGGCGACACAAATACTTTGACAGGTTTGCAAATGTCTATTACACACGGATCTCTCTGGCTCTGTGCAGCAACCTTCCTTGCTGTGGAGGGTACTCCTAATCCACCTTCAGCTTCAGATACATCTAAGGCTAGGCTAATATCTACATGCATTGCCTCTGACCATACTTGATGTGACACCAACACAGTTGTTAATAAGCGGAAACAAGAACATTCTTCTGTACCTAAAAAAAGAAAAGAAAAATAACAATTGACATGCATTTATAACATTTTGTAAGGGCTTTATAAAGTTTGAAGGTACTTACCATTAGAATCAGATGCATCATCTCTGTCCATTCTACGTAAATCTGAAGTTCTCGGAATAATCAGAACTGTTTGCTGATCAGGATATTTTAGTTTAACTCGTACTATAGATGTATCTCGCAAATTGCGTATATCCGCATCTAGAGGGATTCCTATAACCATTCCAGCTGTAAACTTGTAAGCACTGTCAGCATCTCCTTGCGGCTCGTTGATTACAGCAGACAGCATGTGGACCTACAAACAGGGTATTATTACAGTATAACAAATATACTATTAATACAAATACAGTTAAATGTATTCAACTAAAATTCAACTACTAACAGATGTATTTGGGTGAGGAGGCGGAGCAAGACTCGATGTCTGCAGAAGTTTCAACACACTGCGAGCAACGGGCCCGGGCTTTGTCTCCTCCAATAGAGCCATTTCTTTAAATAAGAGGCTTGTGAACGTTTCAGCATTCACACTCTCATCAGTCAAGTATCTAAAAAGATAGATTCAAAAAATATGAAACATTTTAACAAATACTCCAACCAGATTGTTAAATTATGTTTTATCTTACTTTTGCGTTTCTTCTACTTGGAGAAGAAAATGGTCACAGAGGGAGAGAGCAGAAGAATTACTGCCTGTTACAATGTACACAAGCTGCAGGGCAAGTGCCTTCAGCTTGAACTGCTTTACTGCTGCAAGCTCCACAGAGCCCAGACCCATAAACATGTGCTGTAATCTGTGAGGAAAATTTATTTCATTCAGACATAATTTAAAGACAAAAAAAAAAGAACAAATGAAGTTTTTAGTAAGTACAATTTAAAAAAACAACAACAACATAACAAATCAGTTTTTCACAGTCAACATACTTTAGACAGTTTTGGAGTAATGTTGTGATTGTTGTTCGGATGATGTTGCCTTGTTGAGTGGCTAGCGAAGCGGGATTAGACCAAAGACGATTTGAAAGCACTTGCTCCATCAATAACTGGGATCCAATAAAGAGAGCAGTGAATTCAGCAGCCCCTGACACCTGGAAATTATAAGAGCAAAAATTACACACCAAACACAAAACTCAATCATAACACCTGAACCAAGTCAAAACTAATTTAAAAAAAAAAAAGAAAAAAAAAACTTGATAAAATTGAAGGACTTACAGCCGAATCGATTGTGGCTAGCCTGCTCAAGTCTCTCTGAGCAGCCTCCATAAGTTCAGCACGTAAAGTGGTGTTAGGAGCTGCTTCAAGTTGGCTAAAAATTTGTTCCATGAATTGAGAGGTGTTTGTTTCCACACTGGCTAGCTCCTGAGCTCGAACATTAACTCCCAGCTGAAAAATGAAAGTGATCCAAATTATTAACCCTTTCAAGGGTATATCAAAAAATTTATTAAAGACATACACAATTCTGAAATTTTTACTTTTAAGACGGGTACTAGATGAGGCATGGTATCGCGAAGGTATGAGTAATGTTTTAAAGTATTTTCTTCAAAAAGCTGGAGCATTGTAGAGCACTGCTGAGCCGCATTGAACACCAAAATCAAAATACAAATATCTGTATTGAAATGTTAAGAAAAAAGTTCCTTGAATCATCGGCTAGAAGATGACAGAATTGGAATGAAACAAGAAAGGATACAGGCTGGGTCTTCTACATCATGTTCAGGCATGTCAAAAAATGGGTGGATATTTAGAAGAGTTGGCACAATTGGAAGTGTGAGCTCTGGGTGTACACTGCCAATTCTTTGGAAACAGCGCCATAAAGAGCGGCGGTCCTGAGGGTACTTCTTGAGATTATCCAAAAGTGCTTCAACACACATTTGAAGACAGCTATTTGTGGACAGCCTGCATGCTGCCAACATTTTATGTAACCCTTCTCGCACATCCATAGAGAAATCCTGCACAAGAAAAGACAAATTTAAAAGAGCTATGCTGTAAGATAAGAGTACTATGGTTTAGTAGATTCAACAAAACTTTACCTCTAGGGCGGCCAAGACGGTTTCAAGCTGATCATCTCTCAACACAATATGTTTACTAATTTTAGTCAAACTGTCAATTGCTTTTATACGCACATCTTCTATTTCATCATTGAACATGTCCACTAAAAAGTCCAAAGACATGACAGCAAACCGAGGATTGTCCAAAGATAGCAAACAAAGTGCATCTACGGCAGCACTACGAACCTCTGATAGATAAAATAAAATAATAAGTAAAGGCCATTTCCTAGGGGTCATGATAATTAAGGAAAAGGTGAAAGAAAAACATACCTAAAAACTCATCTTCTAAACCATGGACAAAAGCACCACAAGAACCACTTGTAACCAAGCTAATTGAATCAGCATCAAGCTTTTGTCTTGGAGCATCATCAGCCCATTTTTTGCCACTGGACCACTCTCCAGACCTCACCACTTCCAAAGCTCGTTCATGGGCAGACCGTTTCATCTGAAGGCAAATTTAAAAAATTAATTTGTTGCAGTGCTAAAGACATGAAATTATATTAAATTATCAAAAAAAAATTGAAGCACCGTATACATACTCTCATGTTGGACATAAGCTTCTTATCCAATGTCTGTTCCAAAAATTTAGGGCTCACTTGAGTCATTGTCCCAAGAAGCTGACAGGCAATAGTTCGGACTCGCAAAGATAAATCAGTCACTGAGCTGCAGATTTTAGCAAATGCATCATCAACAAGCCGCAACTGTTCTCCTTCAGAGTCAGGTAAGACCACAATGCTGAGGAGAGAGGAATTCATCAGTCATCAATCTGAGATAAATGTATGTAAAATTAGGAAAGACAAAGGATGCACCTACTTTTCAGGGTAAGTATTGCCCAGGACACAAATCAACCTTAATGCAGCAAGACGAACAATTTCATAATCATCTTTCAATGAAGAACACACTTCAGAGTATATAGTAGAGTCAAGCTTCAGTCCTCGATTATGAAGATTAATCTGCTCAGAAAATGGGGAAAGAATAAAATATAATTTATCATCCATAGATATCTGAACTCAAGCAAACTGAAATATGCTTACCATTGTTTTGAAGGATGCCGCCCTCACACGTGCATCTTGGCTATGAGTGTAGTCACCAATAAGTCTGAGCATACTCTGAGTTAGTCCGCTGTGAGATGAATCACTAACTGGGAGCAACTCACCAATTAACTCTAGGCACCTAGATTTAACAGCCTGAGAGGTATCCTTCAGGTACTAGATAAGGAAAATAAAAAAGGTATATTAGAACTTTTTTTTCCATTACCTCAAGACAAAATCTCCAGAAACTTGGTTACCTGTTTGGTAGCTAGTACCAGCTTGATATGAACTTGCACATTGTCATGAAGTAGTTTCCCAAGGCGAAGTAAAGTTGTTACTCCTTGTACAATTACTTTGTGAGACGTTTCTTCCTTCAGCATTTGTTGTGTTTCTTCTAATAAAAGCTGTAAGGGGAAACAGAAAAAGATTATTGTTAGAAAAAGTTGAAAAATTGAATCGCTTGAGAAATTATTTTCAAAAAGATAACTTCACACACTTGAACGTCTGCACCTGCTTCACTGCCAATATCGACAAATAAGGATAGAATTTTGACCCGTACAGCTGACTCTTTCTCACGTCTAAAGTGTTCCTGAAGCTTTTTAATGATGTCTAAAAAGTCATCTTCCTACAAAATAATAGATAATATTAGAAGAATTACTTTCAGAACAATTCAAATTAAGCTTCAGTTTGCCATGCCATGTCGAAATGGAACACTACGAACCTGGAACTGCAGTGAATCTGAGATTCGCAGTAATACCTGTAATGCATCATTACTTGTTTTTTGTCTCTCGAGAAGACCAACGTACAGGATAGTAGAATTGCTTGAAGATGCTTTTCTCACTAATCGAAGTTTTTTCACAGGTCTTGGCTGCTCCTAAGTATTAGGGTGAATCAGAAAAATTGAATGAGAAAAAAATGCCACAGATGACAACTGTCACAAGGAAAGTAATATGAGAGCATAACCTCAAATCAGCAAGTCTACAAATTAAACCATGAGTAAGTTTCTCACCTCAATAACTTGCGTGTACTCAGCAAGAGCCCGTTTCTTCAGAACGGCGGCCATGGCTTTATAAATCGTGACATTAACTCATAAATGAAAAATATTGTTTGTCAGATTTGTTTGCCGACATACGACATTCCCGACTCGGCCTGCTTGATCGATCCTTCACATGCATAACAATCCAGAGAGCCCTGGGATTGTTGTCGATCTTCTGCTCTGAAAAGTTTGGGTTATCAGCATTTTAGGATGAATTCTTTCTCAAAACGGTTGTCAAGTGATCAAGCACAGTGGAGGGCTTAACTGTTGAAACCTACTCCTCTCGTTAATGCTTAAGTAAGTTCCTCGCTATGATGGAAAGCAGAAACCATGCCAATTTTAGCTGAGTCCACTTGGACACATCCTCGTTATATTTGTGTACTCGCCTTTACATAATTTTTGTGGATTTAACTCATTTTATGTCAAGTCAATTCTGGGTTCCTTCATAAAAATTCTCGCAAGTTTCCCTTCAAAGTATAATATAGTATAAAAATATTGAAAGAGGTATCAGGGGAGGTTAGCCTACCTGATCTTTTTCATTAGCATGTTTCATGGAGTTATCCCCTGCCATATTTGGACTTATAAAATTTTTAAAAGAAATTGTCCTTTCACATATTCTTATCGTTATTACTTTTATTCCTCTATGTTTATGTTTCCTCTTTTACTTTGATTTGCAGGAAGTGACAGACCTATTCTATGTTCAAAGTAATGCATTGCTGCTCAGAAAAACTCTAAAGGACGCAATCAATATGGGAGGACACCCTCACATAATTTCTGAGGTTGCAAATTTCTTGTCTGCTGTTCCCCATCCTCATGGGGACTGGCGAGAGTTCCTGTGCGGGCTGAGCTCAGCTTTTGTCAACATAACTATTACCTACCCAATCAACAAAATTATATTTCGGCAGGTTTGTATTTTTAAATATTTTCTCTTCTTACAGCAGTAAAAATTGAAATTGTTATTATTTTACAACTTTTGTTTGGTTTCAGATAATTCATGATGTTGGTGTTTCCAGAGCAATCCAACAGTTGTCACATGAAGGCCTATTCTTCTTGTACAGGGGGATTCTGCCACCACTATGTCAGAAGTCTTTGAGTCTGTCATTGATGTTTGGTGTTTATGAGGAGTGTCGCATTCCACTGTTAAAAGCCAATGTGCCTTCGTACATAGCAAATCCATCAGCTGCCATAGTTGCTGGCACATTTGAAGCTGTATTAACTCCTTTTGAACGGGTTCAAACTTTACTTCAAGACCGAAACTATCATCAACATTTTCAAAATATGAGGCATGCATTCAGACAACTCGGCGCGGAGTATGGTTTCAAAGAATATTACCGAGGTCTCACTCCTATCCTATTAAGAAATGGGCCTTCGAATGCCTTTTTTTTCTACTTACGAGGTGAAGCTAAAGATCGACTTCCAAGTTCAGGACAATTGTTGGAAGAGCTCACCAAAGACTTTCTTAGTGGTGCTGTTATAGGTGCATTTTTAAGTTGTGTTTTTTATCCATGTAATGTATTAAAGTTTCATATGCAAAGCAGATTAGGAGTGCCATTTCAAAGTATGTCTGAAGCCTTTAGAGATATATACAATGAACGTAATCGCAGCATTTTAAAAATGTACCGGGGAGTTCACATGAATTGCACCCGGGCCTTTGTCAGCTGGGGTGTAATTAATGTAGCTTATGAATGGAGCAGGTCAGTGCTCTATTAAGTCCTAATGCTTTATTTTTCTTGTGGCACTGTGTTTGTAAAAGCTAGTCAGTTGAGATCCAGTTATTTTTGTGATATAACTCATGTTGCTTTACATGTGATATAATTGTTATTTAATTTTAAGAAGAGTATTCTGCCTTTGCAATGTCTGTCATACAAACATGGTATGTGTCAAGAAAACAAGTATTTCTTGAATGTGCATAATAGTTTAAATTTGTGCTATGTGGTTATAGAGCTTGTTTCATGCGACCAACTTTTAAGTCTGACTTAGCTGTTCTTTTAGCCAGTCCATTCAATTCTACTTCTTGTTGTGCTGTCATTGGCTAAAAGTGAAGACAATAATGTTTTTTAATGGTCTCCCTGTCTTTTATGACTAGGGGCTGCCTATTTTATGGTCGACTGCCAACAACACACAAATCAATATTATGCTTGTTCCTCTCTTTGTTTTAATTTCAACTTGCTCTGGACTCGCTGCTGGCAGCACAAACAGTTTCCTTTCTACAAATCATTATTGAGAGTTCAAATGAAGACTTGTATAAGGCCCTTTTTAGAGGTTTTTCATTCATTTTATGTTAGTTAATATTTTTTTGGAATGATGTGAGACACTGCAATTTAATGAAGATCTTGTGATGATTTTTTTCACTTAAGTTTGGGGTTTCATATCAGTTGCATTCCAATATACCTATGTACTTTGAGGTGTTCCACCAAAGCTCCTGTTCATTAAAAAAAAATACTACAAAAACAAATGGAGAAACTACATTATTTAAAGTCCTTGTTTTCAACATTGCCTTAGTCTGCCAAACAGCATGTGCAGAGTAAAAGCTAATACTTGGTACTTCAGGGCTGGCTTTCGGGACTTTAGCCCGGGCCTTTGAGGTGCCGCCAGCGCCAGCCAGGACACTGATTCCGAACGGCGTCTCTCCGCTCGCACCCATACGGGACGACCCACGAAAGCGAGAGAGACAGTGGCCGGCAGGTAGTGCGTGGGGTAGCCGGTAGCCCACCCCGCAGTGCCCAGTGTCCGCAGGGGTCGCGGGGGCCACTCGCGGCGGAGGGGGTGCTCTATTCTGGGCCTGGCGGTGCTGGCGCGGCCCAGTGCGGCGGTAGGGCACCACCGCGTCTGCCACCGCACCGCGCCGCCGCGCTGCCACGCGAGAAGCACGGTAGCACCTTCGCCACGAGAAGGCGGGGGCGGGGCCAGGCGGGGCACGGGGTTCTGCCCGCTTCCCGTGGCCCAGTCATCTCAAGAGGGGAACGAAACCCCAAGGGGAACGGGATGGGGTGGGGAAGGGGCAAGGGGCCCCACAGGGAGGCCGGGGACGGCCAGTCGTCGCGAAGGGCTGGTACTGGGGCGTGCAGTTCGCGTGCCTCCCGCCGCCTCGAGGCTCCTACAGCACGCGCGCTCGCGTCCACGCCGGCGTCACCCTCACACGGCGCGACAGCGCGACGCCGCGAAGCCCTCGCAGCCAGGACCACCCCGCCGCTCTCCAGGCAAGGCCCCGGGTCCAGGGCCCGTCCTCCAGAGCGTCGTCTCGCCGCGGTGCATGCTAGGCCCACGGCCCGCGCCTTACCGTAACCGCTCCGTGCAGAGCCTCAGCGCGCACAGCTTCTTGGCCCAGGACCCGCGGCCCGCACAGGCCCCGACCGCCCCGACGGTGAGTGCGCGTCCGCAGTCCGCAGTCCGCACACCGTCACTTCCTCCTTCTTGGCCGCGGCCTGGACCGCCCACCGCCCCCCCGGCGGCACGCTGGCGGGGCGGCATTCCCTCCAGACTGATTCCGAGAGTCGTTTTCCTCGCTGTCTCTCTCGCACTCTCTCGGGCGTCCCGTGCAGGAGCGAGAGAGACGGAGCGACGAAGCCGCCTCGCGGAATCAGTCTGCAGCAGACCTCTCGCTGGATTGATAGGCCCACTGCACTGCAGTGCCACGCGATAATTAAGACGACGCTACAGTGAAAGTACTCCGGCCGGCCCCGCCCCGCCCCGCCCGCCGGCCATTCCTGTTGCTGCGCGATGGCGACACCGCGCGCCCCGCCCCGCCCCGCCCCGCCCCGCCCGTGCGAGTTCGGATGGGCCGTTGGACCGACCCCCTGGGCTGGGCTGGGCTGGGCCCGGCTGGGCTGCTGGGCGCAGTGATGGATGTCCCGGGAAGAGGCTCGCGGACGGAGGAGGCCTGACCGGGCTGGACCCGGTCGAAAGTGGAAAACAATACCGACCCCATGTCATCGGTATATTTAGCCGATCCGAGCCAGTGGCTATAGTCTAGCCTGGCTAGCCAATGGGAGGGCATACCGAACATGCCAACGCACGGGGAAATCTAGGGTCTGCCGTCGTGATGTCATCTGCGTGGGGCGTACACCGTAGGGCGCAGGCCGAGTGCCTGGCGCCTGCGAGTCGCCGGGTAGGCCGCCCGCTCCTCGCGCGAGTACGGCGAGGCGGCTGGGTTGCCTACCTGCCGGGCGCTCGGTCGGGCCGCGAAGGCCACCGCACTGTTGCCATTCAAAGCCTCCCAAACCGCTGCAGGTCGATTACTCGACGTCGCGAGCACCGTCGGCGAACCTCCGCATCCGCCGCGGCCGCGCGTGGCGTGGCGGCGCGAGCTTAGCGATACTTTGGAGTGTCTGCCGAGCGCGCCATGCTGACGAACGGAACGGACGAGTCGGGGCGGGCGGGCTGCGCGCTGGCCGCGGGCCAGCTCCTGTCAGCGAGGATGCTTGGGGGCGCCGGGCCACGCCGGGCCACGCCGGGCCAGTGCCAGTGCGGCCGGGCAGCGCCCTCTCTCTCGCTCTCGCTCGGCCCGGGCGGCCCGGGGCGGGTCAACGAGGGGGACAGAACCAGACGACCATCGATCGCGCCTTTGATACACATTGTGGTCGCAAACGAGGCGGCATGGCAGCAAGGCCCGCCGCGCCGAGTGCAACCTCAATGCGTCGGCATGGCACGGCCTGAGGGTGGCCACTGACACCGCCACTCCGTCGCCTTGCAGATGGCCGACGCCGAGACCGAGGTGCAGGCGCCCAGCACCCCCACGCTGGAGGAGATCATGGAGAGGCCGCCGCACCAGCCGCTGCCGCCGCTGGACCAGGAGCTGCTGGCCATGCCGCCCGAGGAGTTCTGGGTGTCGGACCTGCGCTGGATCGTGCCGGGCCAGCTGTGCGTGGTGCGCGCGCCGCGCACGCGCGAGCACCTGGACGCGCTGGCCCGCGAGAACGTGCAGCACCTCGTCACCCTGTCCCCCGACGTGATGCCCAAGCCCGAGGACTTCCCCAAGAAGATCAAGTCCACCGTGATCCCCGTCGAGGAGTTCGACATGCCGACGGACGACGCCGTGGACCAGTTCATCGCGCTCTGCGAGAAGGCCATCGCCAAGAAGGAGGTGAGTCTCGGACCAAACCGCGGCACGGCTGCCGGTGAAGCTGCCGGCCACCCTTTCTAATCTGCTTTTTGTTGCAGCCGGTGTGCGTGCACTGTAGACAGGGCCGCGGCCGCGCCGGTGCCTTCGCCGCGTGCTACCTGGTCCGATTCCAGAACAAGACCCCCGAGGTGGCCATCAACGCCGTGCGCATGCTGCGGCCTGGCGCCCTGGAGACCCTCGGCCAGGAGCGCTCCGTCAAGCGGTTGCACAAGAGGCTCAACCCCCCTAAGTAGACCCCCCCCCTCCCGCCCCTCCACTCCGCCCGCCCACTCAGTTGGCAGCAGTCGCCCTCGACACCATGTGCCGCCTGGTGCCGCCGCGCCACGCCACGCGCGTCTCGCCCCCCTCGCTCCACGAGCAGAGCTCCACGAGCAGACTGGCACCCTCTTTACTTTTGTGATGTATATATTAGTTGTGATATAGTTGCATTTTGCCATTATTCCCTCGCCTCGGTTTGCATCGCGACGAGACCCACGCGAAACTGTCACCGAGACAGCGTTCAGAAAAGCGGACTCATGTCTGCAGTTTGTGACCATTGTCGCGGACTGAAACACGATTTCTTTACGGATGACCCAATTTCAAAATTCGATTTCGATCAGTCTGCCTCCCTGTCTGCCGCGCTGCAGTAAGGGTTGCCTACGTCCCAGGAGGTTCATGTCTCCAGGGGTCAAAAAATGCATTTTCTACTATGGCATCGCGCTTCTCTAACACACTGAAACTGCACTGTACAAACATGTAAGCAAAACAATAAAATACTATTTTACATTAATACAGTTATACGTTCTTCCATTCACCTTTGCTCGTCTTTGGACACGTTTTGTTTACAGCATAACACACACTCGATAAAAACGCATAACTGCTCATGTTCTTGATAAGTTGCTTCAAAAACAATTGTCTTTTGGGTGAAAGTTGTAAATTTTATCTGCACTAGTTTTTAAAGGTGCGGTACGCTTTGGACCTGAAATGTAAGGATGTATATTAATTTTGCATTCCTTGTCGTTTTTGTATTATGATATGTTTTTTTCTCATTCAAATAAAGTGTTGTTATTTAGTAATAATTTGCCCCAATTTTTTTTCATCAGAGAATATCAAGGGTCATATTAGGCATAAAACACAATTTTTATCCAAAAAAAAACACGTTTCATTTTTTTTATTAAAAGTAAAAAAACAGGCAACTTTAAACACGTAAAACTTAACAAAACAGGAAAACAGTCGGTTGGTCGCGGACAGGCTGGTTGGTGCGCTGGATGCGCTGGCCCGGCCGACGAGTAAGGCAGTGAGATCTGGGTTCTGGGTGGCTGTGACCGACCACTGTGACTAGTCCCAAACTTGTTCCTCCATGACCACATCCGCCGCATCGCTACTCCCAGCCGTGCTTGGGCTCCTCGTGGTGCTGCGGCACGCAGACGCTCTTCCAGACGGGGACCTGCACGGACTTCCACTCGGGCACCTGCTCCTCCTTGGTCTCAGGCTCCTGGTAGCTCTGCCACTCGTCCTTGAAGCTCTGCACCTTCTTCGTCACCCAGATGGTCTTCTTCTCCTTCCTCCAGATCTGGACCTTCTCCTCCTTAAACTCCTGGACCTTCTTGGTCACCCAGATCTGCTTCTTCTCGGTCTTCCAGAGCATGATTTTCTCCTCGTGGAAGTGCTCCTCCTTCTTGGTGATGTACTCCGTCTTGTGCTCGGTCTTCCAGATCTGCTTGTACTCGGTCTTCCAGGTCAGCTTCTTGTGCACCTTCTTCTTGCTGTGGTGGTCGTCCCAGTCGTCGTGTCCACTCTCCACGGTCACCTTCCAGACGGGGATCAAGATCTTCTTCCAGGCGGGCACCTTGATCTCCTTGGTGATGGGGATCTTGACCTCCTTGTAGTAGGGCTTCTTGACGATCTTGTACTCGGGGACCTTGATTTCCTTCCAGGCGGGCACCTTGACTTCCTTCCAGACGGGCACCTTGACGGTCTTCCAGTCGGGCACCTCGATCTCCTTGTGCGACGGCACCTGGATCTCGTTCCAGACGGGCACCTGGATCTTCTTCCACTTGGTCTTGAGGACCTGCTTCTTGACGGTCTTGTACTCCTGCTTCCACTCCGTCTTCCACTCGAGCTTCTTCTCCCACTTGCAGTGGTGGTCGTCACCGCCGATGTCGCCGCCTCCTCCGAGTTCGGCTTCATGCCCGCTCAGCTCGCTGAGGTCTCCGCCGAGGTCGCCGCCGAGGTCGCCGTGGCCGCCGAGGCCGATGTCGTGGCCGCCGAAGTCGTGTCCGAGGCCGAGCGCCAGCATGTGGCTGGACGCGCCCTCCTGCTCCTCTCCCTGCAGCGTCTTCCAGCCGCCAACCTCCAAGTCGAGACTGCGCAAAAAAACATCCAGTCAGCAACGCGAGTTCGACGCCCACCGCCGGCAACGTTTTAAAATCTGTTTACCTCTTTTTGGCGCGGCTGGACGCGTCAGTGGGTGCAAGGCCCTCCTGGCCCGCGGCTGGCTGCGGACTGGCGTCGCCCTGGACGGCGTCGGCGACGGCGGGGGCGGGCTCCACGGGGACGGCAATGGCCGAGGCCGCCGCCACCGCCGCCAGAACCGCCTGCGGCAGAGAAACACAGAGTTTGAACCAAATCGCACGCGTCTCTCTCGCACTCCGGGGCACGGGGGACGGGGGACGAGGACGGGGCGGTGCGCGGAATCGCTCAGGAACAAGAAGGCGGTCGATCCGGCCGATCCGACTCCCCGGGCGAATCGGTCCAGTTATGCACCGCGCTGCGCCGCGCGACCAGTGCCGTGGCTGCGGTCAGTGTCGGCCGCACCGTAATCATATACAATAAACACAAGCGGCGCGACTGGCGGATCGGTCGGCCGCGGGGCCGCGTGGGGCCCAGAGCACAGAGAAAGCGGAAGCTGTGGCCAGCTGGCCATATCCGCGTATATGCACAATTGCAAAAGACCAACAAAAAACACACATCATTCCGAGACAAAATTTAAAAAAAAATTCTTGAACTTTTGGCCTGCAAAGTCGGCCCCTTTGGCCGCACGGTCGTGCCGTAACACGACGGTTGTGATTCTGAAAACGTCTCCATGGGACACTTTGCACACTTGCTGGCGAGCCGCTCTAAGAGAATGCCGTCCTGTCAAGTGAACGCCCTGTGCGTGCGTGCGTGTGTGTGTGTGTGTGTGTGTGTGTGTGTGTGCGTGTGTGTGTGTGAGTGTGTGTGAGTGTGTGAGTGCGAGGCCTCCTCTACCGGAGCGGCCGGAGCGGCCGGAGGGGCGAAAGAGGCCGTTGTGTTAAATCACCCGGAAACTGGATGGCGTTGCCGGACGATGGAAGCCGCTGGACCAGGCGAAGCCAGGCGAAGCAGGCGCCAGGAGGAACCGGACCGCGGCGCAGCTTTCGATATTAAGAGATACGTATCCCGCCTGTCTATAACAGTGTGGCGCTCGCTGCAACGTGCAGGCTGTGCAATCGCACCGTTTTACAAAAAAAAAAAAAAAAAAAAAGCCGCTCAAAAGATTGACAATGTAAAACAAAACGGACAAACGGCTGGGTTGCGGGACGGAGGGATTACGGATTATCCCTCGGGGTTGGCCCCCCCGGGGCGCCGAATTCCGCCCGTGCCACGGTGCCGTAACGGATAAAGGAACGCCCGTATCACTGCGCTGCTCTGCGTCGCCGGAAGCTGTTGGCGGCCTGCGGTAGCGTTGCGTTCCGGCCGACAAACCGCCGTAGCAGAATGCTTACACGCAGTTTTCGTTCCGGGCGACTCGGCCCCGCGCTCCACGCGCGAAACTGGAGGCCCGCCCGCACTTCGGCTGCAGTGCAGCACACCGCAAAAAAAAAAAAAAAAAACTTTTTGAAATTTTGGTTTTTGAAAAGAATGACTATCTATAGGGCGCTGTGTTTGAAGAAAGCGTCCCGTCCCGAGTGATTGCCCGATGGACCAGTTTGCAAGTTACAAAAGCGCGGTGGTGCGAGAGAGAGAGAGAGGGACAACAACACGAGCCGCTGTGCCGCTGTTGTTGGTTCCCTTCGAATGTTGAAGCGTCACTCCGTGCCGCTGCGCGCGAGGAACAAGCGGCCCTCGTTTGCCGCGGACGCGTTCGCGGATTAGAGTAAGTGAAGTAAGTGAGCGATTGGCGGGCGCACCGTCATCCCACGCAACGCGGCGCAGCGCGGCGCGGCGACGTGACTGCCGGCTTTCGGCGCTCTCTGTCTCTCTCGCGGCCCCTCGAGTGCGCGAGAGAGAGGGAGGCACGCGACGCGACGCGGCAGAGTGCCGTCATCGTGACGGCATCAGCGCCATCAGCTTGCCGCCTTACACGAGGTGCAGCGCCATGCAGCGCGAGGCGGCGGACCGCCACTGCAGTTGTTGCAGAACAATTGCAAACCGTTTTCAAATCAAATTTGGAACAAAAGACAGTGACGAAATTTCACGTTTTTCAATGCTGAAGGTTGAAGCAGAGCTTTCCGAACTGGGATGACTCCGGCACACTACCGCCGCGGCGCAGGTTAGGTTAATCCAGAGACGGTTGAGCACACACCACACACGCACACACGCACACACACGTCGAATAGAGAGGGTTGGCACTGACCAGAAGCGGCCACGTCCACGTGCGCATGTTGAGCCAGCAGCTAGACCAGAGGGCAGAACACCGAACACTGTGTCCTCCAGGCCGGGGTGCGGGGCTCTTATACCGGCCCACCCCCTGTCCGGCCCTGCCCGGCACACCGTCGGCGGGAACCCCGCCCCACCCCACCCCGCCCCGCCCCGACCCGCCACCGCCGCCGGACCCGACTTTGGACCCCCACCTCACTTCGGCGGTGCCCCCGTCCAAGCCCAGCCATGCCCAGCCCCATCAGGCACTGCAGGCGGGGCCCTGGCGGGCGCCGGAGAGCGGTGCCTGGGAACAGAAAGGGGGCGGTGCAGGAGGGGGAGGGGGAGGCGACGACGCCCTTCTCTTCCGCGCCTCGCACGCCGCTGACCGCTCCGTTCACTCGGATGGCCGGCTTCCGGGCGTGGCGGGGCGTGGCGGGGCGGGGCGTGGCAGAGACCCACCTCGGCGTCGGCGTGCTTCGCGTTGCGCGAGTCCCTGCGGTCCGCTGCTGGTGCTGCTGCATTATTGCACGCGTCCTTTTGGGGCTCGGTGCCCATCGCCTCGCCATCGCCACGCCATCGGCGGCGCGGCCAAGCAGGGCCAAGCAGGGCGCGGTCCAGTCGACCGCCACTCCGGCCGAACGGGCCACGCTGGGCGAAGCCTCAAGCGCCTGCGAGGTAGGCAAGAGTCCGGCCGCGACGCACGGGTGGCTCGCGTGGCTGCCTACCCTCCGCACCGCAGGCGCGCTGCCGCGCTGCAGTTGACGCAGCCCAGATGTAACCCAGATATTGCCCGGACAGCGGGCTGGCAACCCTTTCGGCGCCGTCGCATCGTGAGACTTTCTGCCTACTTATGTTGCCACGGAAACACGCCGTCCTCCTGGACGCCCATTAGCAACGCCGTCGCTCCGTCCCTCTCGCACTCGTGGGGCGTCCCGATGTCCCGTCGCGGAGCGAGAGAGACGGAGCGACGTTGCACCGGGCCTTTCGGAACGGCTTGGCTGGGCGTCCTCCTCCGGGGATCCTGCAAGAGTGTGAAAACAGGCTTCGGCAGCATCCTGACCGGCCGGGCGGTGAGGCGAGGCAGCCGGGCGTGGCGGTCAGAGCAGAGCGCGCTCGAGGTGTGTCTGTGTGGTCCAGTGCTCGCGCTAGGCGGGCAGCGCGCGCAGCTACCGCGGCTGGTGTTGCAGGTCCGGCCGCCGGTTCCAGCCCCAGTCTAGCCCCAGTCTAGCCCCAGTCTAGCCCCAGTCCAGCCCCACCGCGCTAGACGTCCAGGAAGGCCTCCGGGAGCCTCCTCCGGCAGCACGCAGGACGTCTGCAAATGTTGCCTGCACACTACGTTTCTTCTGGGCCTCCACCACACATGCCCACACTTTTTGCAAGCCCCCTGCCTGATGGTCTCAGACTTAATCGGTCCACTTTTTTCGCGTGTTATTTTTTGACAAAGCGTTTCCTTTCTCTCGCGATAGGAGAAAGGAATTTTCTTGGGTAATACGCGCCAAAGCCCCCGGTGTGTGTGAGCGTGTGTGTTTGTGTGTGTGCGGTGGTCCAGATTTGCAGGTTTTACGCCTCCTAGTCAGCTAGTCTGCCTGGTCCGGCCTGGACGGGGCAGGCGGGTACCCGGACTGCCGCTGTGTCCATTAGATTCACTCGTCTGATGGCTGCGCCGCTAACGAATAACGAATCCGCCGTTTACGGCCTATAGCAGCCCGTGCCACGCAACCGCCCTGATTCCTCACCTTTCGCCCGGAGTGGCCGAGTGGACGGCGAGCCAGCGCCTGTCCTGTCAGCTAGTCAGCCTCCCTTCCAGCATCACAATAAAGCATCTACCGAGGTATCCACTGTTTGAAGGTGTCGCGACGCCTCTCCGAAGGGAGAGCGACAGAGACGGGGAGAGGCGCGCCGTGGAAAAGAGGGCGACAGCTGCCAGCGGCTGCCAGGGACTTGCAATGCCGGAGAACGTGGCCGTCGTAAGAGCCCCGCTGCCGTAGATGGCGCCACACATTCAAAAAGGGTTACGTGGAATCGGCCACAATTAAGGAACACACCCTGCTCGCCCTGCTCCCTGCAAGCGGCTGTCGTCGCTCTGTCTCTCTCGCACTCACGGGGCGTCCCGTGCGTTCCGTATGGGTGCGAGAGAGACAGCGACGAATCAGTCCGCTGCTGACCGGAACGAGGAACGTGGGCACTGGTTCGGCGTGGCCGAGGCGAGGCCTAGCTGCCCATACTCGTCACTGCTGCCAATAATGAATAGGCAGTCGGCTGAAAATAACCGTGCAACACCCTCCGGGACACTCGAAAAAAAAGGTAGAAATTAAACAGCGGGGATTTGGAACGTTCTTCAACTACGTTCTTCAATTACAGCGCTTTTACACCAACGTGGCAAGTCAGTGGGTGACACAAAAAAAAATTCACTCGGAAATACCCGGATTTGAACCAGCCTCTTTCTCACAGAAATCGAGCAGTTAACCCGTGCGGCTGCGAGACGGGTGAACGGATGGTACTGCCCGTTGCACCACTGCCAACATGAGGCGCCGGTGACGCAGTGGCGGCCGCAGCCCCACACTGTTCCGCACGCGGGGGGCCATAAAAAGGAACACGAAACACACCACACGCGCCTAGCAGCGCCCTCGCTCTGTCTCTCTCGCACCCACGCGGGACGCGCGGTGCGCCCCGTGAGTGCGAGAGAGACAGCGTCTGCCCAGTCCCATCCTCGCAATCCTGGCGCTGGAAGTACTCGGCAGTACGTCCTGCGTGATGCACTGCCATTTGTAAAGCGTATGAACTCCGAGAACTCTGCAAGGAAACGGTGGACGGAATGCGTTCGGATTTGCAGGGCGTGGGAGCACTGGTCCGGAAGAGAGGGCCGGCAGAGCTGACTTGCAGCTGACTTGCAGCTGACTTACGAGCTAATTCGGAATAGAAGTTGGCGGCGTCTAAAAAAAATCCACCCGTGATGGATTGGCGGCCGCCCTCCAGGCCGAAGGTCGCTCTGTCTCTCTCGAGCTCACGGAGCTCTCTCGAGCGTCCCGCAGGGGAGCGAGAGAGACAGAGCGACGAGAGTCTGGTCCGGCATTCCTTCCAAACGCCTCGGCATCGTCGTGCACCTGCACGTGCCGCCCGGACAATTTCTCATACCCGCGCCTTCTTTTTGTCCCAGCACAGCGAGACCCTTCCGCTCGCTCGTACACTGCTATCCCAGTGGACCGACCGGGCCCCCGCGGCCCACCCCGTCAGTGCGAGCGAGACGGGGCGCATCGCGTCGGGGCTGTCGCACCACTGTAGATCGCATCGAAGCGGACTGGATCAGGTGTGCGTGTGTGCGTGTAAGAGTGCGTGCGTGTTTTGCGTGAGAACCGGCGTGTAGCGTACGCGCGGGGGGGCCTCTACCGCCTCCAACGTGTTTTTATTAAAAGCAGCAGGTCTCTGGGCACTCGTCGCGCTGCTCACTCACTCTGGTTAGGTGCGGCCTGGACTTCCTGTCCTGGGCTGTGCTGGGGCTCTCACTACGACATACCAGGGTTCAATTCCCTTTTCCACAATTTTTTTCTTTTCAACGTTCAATAAATTAAAAATAATTATTTTTCGGGTACTAGTCTTGAGCTGCACGTGTTCTTTCCACGCGTTTTACTCCGGCCGTAACGCTTGCCGCTGCTTTCGGGTGGTGGGACAGGCCCTGGGCTGGGCTGCCCTGGGCTGCCCTGGGCAAGGCCTCGGGGATTGAGCCATTGCCGGTACACCGTAGGCCGGCACCGCCTTCCGGAATCCGCGACTGCTCCAAGTCCGAGCCGAGCCGTGCCTGTAATTATAATTTAGACCGCGCGAATAAGACTCGGCGCCCGCGCGCCTCCGCGGTTACGACACGAAAAAAAAAATCTTTGTGCTGGCGACGTGGGGATTCGAACCCACGACCAAAGTGCTCAGACGAGTCGCAGGGCGTCGATTTTGAATGGTGCGACCGACGTGAGCGCGCGCCGCGAGTTTCATTTGAATAACAGGTTGGTCGCGCGCGCACTCGCAGACTTATTCAAATTGGCGCTAATTCTGGAGCCGGAGGAGAGGAAGGCAGGAAGCCGACGGGGAGGCTCGCTGGAGGCTGGCTGCAGGCGGGGACTTGACTGCGGCCGACCGAGTGTGACCACATCGCCGTGCCCACAGCCCGGTGGAACAGTGTGCCCATCGCCAGGACGGTTTTAAACGGAGACGAGCGTGGACTTCCCCGGGCCGGGCCGGGCGCCTCCAGCGGCCTGGTTCCGGAGGACAGTTTGGTCGCTCCGTCTCTCTCGCGCTCACGGGGCGTCCCGAGCGGGTGCGAGAGAGACGGAGCGCCGAAGCGGCCCTCGGCTGTGGCGACATGCTTCTCGTCAAGCCGGCGGCCACCTCTTTTTTTTTGTTTTCCAAATCACTGCGCCGAGGAGCGTCCGCTTCGTAACAGCGCGCCGCGCCGCGCCGGGCCCGGCCGGGGTCACAAACAGGTGTCCGCCGCGGCGCGCGCGTGGCAGCCAGGCAGCGGTAGGCAGCCGCCAACGAGCCCAACGTGGCTGGGCCCCCGCGACGACGCCTGTGCCCAAGCCTGTGTCTGTTGGCAGCCGGTAGCGCGTCGAGTCCTTGCCTCCCTTTCAAACAGCAATTACTCCAAGTACCCCTCGAAGCCGCGCCGAGTCTCTCACGCAGGCAAGAAAAAAAGAATGCCCCATCACGACTTGGCTGCTGGTCTCCTTCGCCTCCAATCATTTGGCCAACCACAGTTGTTGTCCCGCACCGGCACACCGCCACACCGCCACACCGGCACACAGTAGCAGTTCCTTGTGCACTGCCTTTCCTCTGCCCCCTTTTCTAGCAAGGCGGTCCACAGTGCGCTCGTAACGTCAACAAAAACCCAAAACAACAACAGCAAACGGAGAGGTGGAAAAGGCCGGCCACACACTCACTCTTTTAATAGATTGATGAATTAGGCGGCCGTTCAGTAACGGGCCGGCGCGGCGGCTGCAGGCTGCACTAGGTGGCTTCGAGACGCCAGGCAAT